GGTCCCGCTGCAGCCGCGGCGAGCGGTTCGGGAGAGCAGAACCCGCTGTCGTCGTTTAAGACTTGGTCTATTAAACGTAGAAATCGGCTACAGGTAAATTAGGCGGTAGCCGTTATCCTCAAGAGGCTTCTTTAGGCACTGAGTAAAAAATGTGCGAATGTTGCTATATGGTTGTTGCAAGCCAAGAACAGAGCTCTGGTGAGGACTATGCAGAGTTGACGTGCTGGGACTTGTATGTGCCGTGCAACTTACCATGATAACGCAGTTCTGAGCCTGAGTCTTGTAGTTATACTGATGTTCATGTTTCAAGGCTTAAAGAGTATTAGGTGGCACCTTTTTGATAGCGAGAAGGTCAGGCTGTATCACAGTTTCAGTTGGTAGGCTATCGCTGCTGACAAAAGCAACAGTCTTTGCTCTGCAGTCTTTGGCAGCAGAGCTTTGGGAGCACGCAGCTCAGAGCACGTGTTCTGCTACAGTGCCTAGGTATAGACAAGTAGTAAATCATTAAAGAATTGCATAGGCAGTCTGGCCTAATGGAGGGAGCTCTCGGAGTGAGAAGATCTGAGTTCGTCTTGTGGTTGTGTGACTGGTCTATAGGACTTGTCATTTCTGTATTTCAGTCCCTTCTCTGTCCCCGGGGACAATAGGATGTTTACCTTCTTCATAAAGTGCTTCTGCAGTCTTCTGGAAAGTGCTATATAAAATTAAGCTATTGAATCAGTTACTTTGGGTAGTTATTATTTATAAGCCTGTGTGAGAGAGACAATAAACTACTTGTAAAACAAAATATTTTATTTTTAATAATAAATGGTTGACAAGGTTCATTAGGTTATAGTTAAGATTATCTTGAGGCCACAAAATCAAAAACAAAATAAAGAATTCTCTAAACCTTCCAATACCTGATAGCAGCCACAGGGAAATAACTGCATGCTCTCCGGCTTCCCAGTCTGAATTAGGAATGACAGTAGTAACGAGGAGCAGTTTCACAGGCTGTGATAGTAACGTGAGGTGGTCAGTTGACAGTTTGAGACTTATGCAGGAGTGTGATTATTGTTTTGAATTTAGGATATTGCCATCCCCCTTTATGTAATCGACAAAAACGTTTTCTATGCTTATCACTGTTCCAGCGTGGCTCATTTTCATGTTGATTCCGGAGGCTGTCAGCAGCAGTATATATCGTCAGTAGTGTGGCGGAATATGGTTGATCTGTGGGTTAATTGATGAGTAGATGAAAGCATAGTATTAAATGCATTTTTGGGGTAGGAGTTTACTGTGAAAGAAGTTGTTGAGTTGTAAAAAATAAGTGTTTCATTGTTCCAAAGGTAAAAGTGCTGTTTTTGTGGTAGTGGAGGTAGACTTTCTTTTCAGTGCAGCTTGCCAAAGGCCTAGTTTTGCCTGGTACCCTAGCAAGGTCTCTTTTTGCTGGATTAGCATGCAGAATCTGATTGTATGTGCTGAGTTTTCTGACAGTGAATATCAAATAGGAGAAGAGCAAGTATTCCTTGTGTCATCAACAATCCTGTGGGGTCAAGGGAAGCCGATATTATTTTCTTTCTATGTTTCATATTCTTCATTCTTATAAATGCACGTATTTGTGAGAGAATTGCACTTACGTTTATAGGTATTATATTCCGTTCTTTCTTGATTGTTTTCCTGTGCTGCTCTTGGCGAGTCAGAGTAAACCTTTGTTCATGTGTCCAATCCCAAAAGACGAGATTAAATCCACTAACATCCGTTTTAAATCTTCATGTTTGTGTAGAAAAACCTTGTTGCTTATTTGTTCGCACAGATGCTGAAGTCAGTAGCAGAAAGAAGACATTCACTGAGGTTCAGAAAGAACGACTGGAGCAAGCAGAACGGACTATTTTAATTAAGTGCCCACCAAAAATTAATGAGAAAAAATTGTTGCAATATTTGTCCAGTCACGGAAACATTAACAGTCACTTCTTTTTTGAAAATCATGTAAGTAATTGATAATGTAAACTAAAACCTAGACTTAGACAAAAAGAAGTGCTAGCATTTGGGCTATGTAAGTTGAGCATATTATGCAGAGCTAATATATTAAATTTATTTTTATCTTTAATATAAAGTTTACAAGGTACTGAGTAACGGATTTCTATTCTTAAGTCAGCTAAGCAACACCTGCTCTAAGTGTTGAGTAACAACCTGTTTTGGACTAAATCTTTGAAACTTATTCATAAAGCTGCTGACTATTCTAACTGTAGAGCTAACTTTTTTTTTTGCATTTCTTTAATATTCTAGTTGCAAAGATGAATGGATTTTAGTACTGTTGTCTTAAATGTTCACTGCCAAGAGTTGCATATCTTAAATATTTTTTACCTTTTGTGAAAAAGTGTCTACAAAGTGTTGAGGTAATGCAAAGTAGCACTCAGCTCAAAACTGTTGTATAGTTTTGTTGTGGTGCTCCCAAGAAACATTTGGATAACATCAGTACAGTAAGTTCAAGACTCGTGTGCAGTTATCTAACTCTGTCTGTTTCCATTCTTAATGTTTTAGGGTATCCATGCCTTAATAGAATTTTCCGAAAGGAACAGTATAGCCTCATTACAGGATGTTATTGGAATCCCAGGTGCTACAGAACGTCATGTTGTTCCGTTTAGATCTAGACTTTTTACTTTCACACTGAAAAACCCAGTGAGCCAAGCTGCTGCTGAGACACCAATTCACCTCTCTCCTCAGTCGCACATTCCAGTGAAAGACCTTATTGAAAAGCTTTGTGTCGCTGACAGTGTAAGTATAGCTTTGTAGATCTCTTTCAGTTAAAAGTGAATGATATCTATGTGGGATTTGCAAGTGAACTTGTATAACTTAGAATGCAGTTTATTTCTCTGCTTAAGAAAACTTGAATTTTGCGTGAATCTCTCTCTCATACACTGGAACAAACAGATGAACTTTGTTATTTTAATTGCCAAAATACTTTTCTGCGTAAAATCTTTTTTGATTCAAAATTTTATTCAAACCACAATGATATTAAGTAGTCAAAAGGATATATTATGAGTCATTGTATCTTCACAGTGTTCAATTTCTTACCTAGATAAGCAGTCAGATGTACGCTCTTCTGAATGAGTATCAGCTTACAGAAGAAAATATCAAGCTCCGATTTTTGGCCTGTTCTCTGGTTCGGGATTTCACACGTGCATATTTTCCAGACAGCGTGGTAAAGCCATTTGGCTCTTCAGTCAACACCTTTGGTAAATTGGGATGCGATGTGGACATGTTTCTGGACTTTCACGAAACAACAAAGCAAGCTACAAAAATGGTAAAGTTATGCTGTGCGTCTTCAATCTGTGGGATTTTTTGACAGAGCAGCTCGTTTGCTGCTTTTTATATAGGAGTACACGCGCTTATACTCTGATAAATGTTTCACTTGAGTCTGTACTAGACGTTGTTAACAAATTTACTTGAATGTTTAGACTTGAAGACTTTCAAAAACTGAGCGTGACGTGAAAGAAGAGGCGTTCCTCGTTATAGGAAGAAAATGATTTGGTGTTCATGCAGACTTTGTCTGCACTGTCAGTGTGGATTGCACTATGGAGGAAACCCTCATCCCCCAGAGCTAATTCAGAAAAGCCAGACCTTCCTATCCTGCCATTCATTTTGCTTCTCTGGAGCTGCTGGGCACGTGCTTCAAGCATAATGATGTTGTGCATGTGTGTGCACATGTATTACTGGAGGGTTGTCAGGCCATTTTCCTTGGTTTAAATAATCCCTTCGACGTTTACAAAGACTGTTTCAGGTGATCTTATCTGTAGGTGGTATTGTTTGCCACGGTTAGGACAGTCGTACTTGATTATGGCTCTGAAGCCACTTCCTTTATCACTGTAACTATTTTTGTTGATAGTGTTAACATGAAATGTTGGTCGGTTTATGAAAACCATTTTAGTTTTCTTACTGAGCTCATACAGCTAGAGTACTTTCCAATTAATAGCTGACAGTAGACTTGAGAAGACTGTAAATGTGTAATGAACTATGTAAAAATGAGGCAAGTATTCTGCACGTGATCTCCATTATCTGCAAACCAGACATACTAATCGTATTCTTACCGGCAGTTGTGATTACTTGCAGACAGTTGACAGACTTGTTACTGTGAGGCTGCTTCAGCAGAAGCCGTTGAGGCTACTATTTGAGCTCACGTCTTCATGTTATATGACACATTAATAGGCTGTGTGGCACGTTTAAACTGTTACGTGTGATGCAGTGAAGCTTTTGTCTTGTATACAGGCATAGTCGTTAGGCATTAAGATAATCTTATTGGTTTTATTAATATTTTGGACTGCTAAAATGTGGGCATATCTGCTGCCTCAATTTGAAAGTATGTATAAAAACAAGGTGCGTTCGAGAGTTGTCCTGTGAAGGACTAAAAATCACTAGTGCAACTCTTGCATCTTGATTCAGGCACAGCCAAAGAATAAAGGAGAACAGGATGCCAGCACCTGCAGTGCCTTGTACTTTGTAGGGATCGTGATGTGGGTAACATCTCCCCTAATAGGCAACCTATGCTTAATGCTTCCGAGAAAGACAAAAATGGTATTCTCCCTGGCAAATTGTGTTACCAATGTACATAAACTGATTGTCCGTCTTGGGACGAGTGAGTGAGGGAAGGTAACTTTAATTATAAGACAGTGTAGCAGCAGGAGAAAGGAACCTTCTGTCTGCCAAACTATTGCAGAATTTCAGGAGGATACCAGCAGTGGGGGAAGACCAGGTATTTCGGCATCTATTTACATGTATTTATTTTTTTTGTGTAGTCTGATGGAAAACTGATCAGTGATTGCGAGTTAAAAAGGCAGCAAAGGTGGGAGCATTCTTTACGATGGAATCTGTGACTACTTGGAATTTTTTTTCAGTGCGTTTTATTCTCCTTCATGGGTGAACAAAGGACTGGTTATCAGGATGGTGTTTGCTGAGCGTAGAAATGGTATTTTTAACACGCAGGCAGTTTGGGATAGTAGTGAGTGACTTTAAGCATAGTTTAATTATCATTTTAGAGTCCCTGTTTTTGGATTCAAACAGTTATGCTTCTTTTTGAGGGTACTGTATCAATTTACCCCAAAATACTAGTTTACTTTATCCACATCTTCTGTTATGGGCAACATGGCGAGAACAGCGAGAGAACCACAGGTCTGGGCAAGTGTATCGGTTCTTCATCCTACCCACAACTGGAACCAAAGCTGTATGTGAAGGTCGTATCAATTACTGAGGTTGTCGTCTAGCTAAAATCTTCCTTTAGCTTCTGAGAGATACTGAATGGCTGTCTGGGAAGGCCCATCGTGATTTTTGTCACACACACAAAGGTAAAAACACCAGCATACTGATGCATCAGCCAAGTCCCCATCTTTTTCTTTCCTGTCACCTTCCTCAATCTCTAACCTATTTACTCTTGCTTTAAGACTGGCAGCCCTTACAGGTACCTCAAGGCAGCTCCATGCTCCCTTTATGTGTAGATTTGGGTTCCTTTCACTTTGAGCCAGCCCTCCTCCAAGGTTAGCACATTAATCCCACTTGGCTAAGTAGATCGGGGGCCGCTGTTCTGGTACGTTCAAACACTTGCTCTGGCTGTTGAAGTGTGGGCAAGAGAAGAGCAGGAAAAAATGCCTGAGTGATTGTCAGAGTTGCATAGAAATTGGGTGTCTTAAAGGGGGGTTTACGGGAAGAGGGTCACAAGGTCCGCAACTTCTGAATTGTGCCTGTCTGTAGGTGCCTAGTTTCTTTGCACTAACCTGGTGACAACAACAGTGAGCTCATATAGTTGTGTCTCGGAGGACTGGTTAGGTCACTGTCTAATGCTATTTGTCTAGTGTGCATTCACCCATAACGTGCTCCAAAGGGAGGGCTGAGTCAGTGTCAGGTATCGGATTAGCAAACAAAAATAGCTGAGGCTTAAAAATATAGAGAGACGATAAAAACAGCAGAGATTTCATATAAATTAGATATTTTATTGCAGTATAAAACGTATATGTGCATATGCTATATAAAACGCGTATGTGTATGACAATGACAACTACAAAGACATACAGGAAAGTGCATCTCCAGTATAGTCAGAATGCAGCTCTAAAATTTATTTATCAGAAAAAATAAAAGTGCAAAATTATTATTTAAAGTCTTAGAGAAACTTAGTGTTGTTTTAAAACACTGAGAAATTTGCATGCTAAAATTTTGGGATTCTTTTCAAAATGAAAAGTTTTCTTTTACAATGTGCTATTATTGAATCAAGTAGCACTGTACTTTGAGGGTATGAGAAGAAAATACTAGTGGTATGAAGTTAACAGTGGTTTGATTGTGTTTCATCCTCTTATGTGTTTTTTTTTTTTTTAACTTAAATTATGCTTTTTTTTTCAGTCAAGAGTGTACATGCTGTCTCGGGAATTGAAGAATTGCTTACTTTAGACAATAGTATAATGTAGTACTACTCCCTCATCTAAGCAACTAATTTCACAATAAGTGGTTGGCTATTAACCTGGAAAAACTGAATCGCTAAGAAAGAATATACAAGAGAAAGTAGTATGTTTTACCAGGTTCTGCAGGCTGCTTTAAATAATGCATTTGTCTTAGAATCTCTAATTGCACAAACTCCTTTGCAAAGTGGTGTAGTATTTCAGAAGTATTCTTAAATATCTCTTTAGTTCCAGAGCTAACAGTTTACTTTTAAAATTTTGTGGTAGAAAAAAGGTCCCTTTGAAATGGAGTATCAGATGAAAAGATTACCGTCTGAAAGATTAGCGACTCAGAAGATTCTGTCTGTGATTGGTGATTGCCTTGATCATTTTGGTCCTGGATGTGTGAGCGTACAGAAGATACTCAACGCTCGCTGCCCACTGGTGAAATTTTCCCATCAGCCAACAGGATTCCTATGTGATCTGTCAGTGAGCAACAGGTAAGACCTGATTTTAAAAGTTTAGGCAGAATATCCCTATATTCTGGAAACCTGTAATGAACACTGTTTAGTAGTTTGTGTTGTCTTTTTAACAAAGATGATAAAAGAGCGCTTAAAAGTGCTAGCTCTGAAAGTACAAAAGATATTTTTGAGTTTTAAAACTTTTTTTCTTTAAGTGTGTTGAAGATGCTCTTCTCCGGTATAGTAAATACTTGTTAGCTGAACCTTGAAGTTCTGAAGAAAACTGACAGTATGCAAAAATGTGGACTTGTAAGGAGTTAAAAGAAGACAGGGTTCTTTAGTTATTACTTCCTTTCACACACGTAGGCACGTGCATGGTCGTCTTTGGATTTCTTTTCAGGCTAAGAAACTGGATTGTATTAGTTTTCATTATAGTCTTTCAGCTGCTTTGCAGTGACTGGATTTCTAGTTATTTCAGGGTTCTTTGTTTTTTCTTAAGGGCGTATGTACACCTGTTTGCTGGCCAGGTATCTTGAGTGATCAATTAACTCACTGCTTCAGAAAATAAATCTTAATTGTTACTGTCATAAGGACCTTTCACAAGAGTGTCCAGTAGAGGGAGCAGGCTTCTTAAAAATAACGTTTTGTCTGTGTGTTCCCTCTTCCAGCTTGCTCTCATTTTTAGGTCACCTAAAGGGTTGGTAGCAAGACATATTATTTTGTTTTGCTGTCACTTATTTTATTAAGAAATACCTAGCTTATGCCAGTGCTACGGCTATATACTGGATTAAGGATACACACTCGCATGCGGTTTTCTGTAAGCTTTCCTTATCTGTGGAGCAGTTGGTCAGCTGCGATTGTCTGTGTGCTCTCTTGTTATCATTTGGAGTAATAACAAATATTTGTGGCTACAAGGAAGCACTTCGCGGTCAAAATTTGAAAAGTCAAGGTTTTACAAAACTTTGACATGGCAAATTTACCCAAAATGCATTTTTTCAAAGGAATTAAGTGCAAGATTGGGAGTAAAAATTCCCGCAACTGTAGTTCAACAAGCACTTTAGACTAAAACTATCCCCAAAGTAAGTCTTGTTTTTGCACCCTGCTTCCACTCTAGTATTTTCTGCTTTTTCTTCCCCTCGCTCTTGCACAGTAAAAGAACAATTGTATGACCATATGATGAAGCAGATCAGAAACTGATCCATTTGAAAACTATTGTCATTTTCGACGAGTTCCTTTTCAGCTGGATTTGGATAATTGTTAGCAATAACTATCAAAAATATGGACGTGGTAGTGCGGGAATGAGAGCAAGAGTCTGCAAGCAAAGCTGCTACGTCTAGCAGCAGTGGCTGCTTATGTTTGTTTAAAGCATTTACTGCACAACAACCTCAGATTTATTCCAACCGCACTAAAAATGTCTTTAATACTGTACAGTTCAAAATTCAGAACTCTGTTCTGCACTATAACAAAGGACATCAAACTTCAAGCGTTAGTCGTTTGGAAACTACCAAGTTTACTGGTTTTGCAGATTTCACTGTCTATTTGCACTTTTTTTATTTTGCAGTTCGTCATGTTGTAACTCTTTGGATTAGAGTTGTGAAAGAATTTCTAGTTTGTACTTTATAATTTATTAGGATGTAGAGATTGTCTAATGTACTACAGAGACATTTGTGGCTAAATTAAATGTGTGCGTTCACCCTTGATTCTGCATAGTTTTACTCCTGTGCATTTGATTTTGGTTTTTATTTTTGCTTTTTTTTCCCCTCGTGATAAGGAACAAGGAAACAATGCAAGTCCAGTATTATTATTTACCCCTAATTGTATCCTTCTTATTATGAGAACCTATCAGGAATTTAATCCTGGATAATCTCAGGCATTCTCTTCTAAATTTTTAACGGGTAAAACTTATTGGTATTAGTTTGTTTTATAAATATCCTCTTCACTTATAACTGATGCTCTAGGATTGAACGGCCAGCATTGCACCTGGTACTTCACAATTCTCTCATTATTTACATGTGTCTCATACTTCTTCTTCCTCAGCATTGCTATAAGAAGTTCAGAACTGTTGTATATCTATGGTTGTCTTGATCCCCGTGTAAGAGCGCTGGTGTTCAGTGTACGATGTTGGGCCCGTGTTCATGGACTTACAAATAGTGTTCCTGGTGCCTGGATTACAAACTTCTCTCTAACAATGATGGTCATGTTTTTTCTGCAAAAGAGATCACCACCTATCATTCCAACACTAGACCAACTTAGAGAACTAGCAGGTAAGGACAGTTGTTTATGAAAGAAATTGGAGTGACTCTCACATTTATTTTCTCTTCTCTAAAGTTATGAATAAACCCATACCGTTTCTTTATGCTCTCAAATACCCATGTATATTGTGTATACCGTATGTTTGTGGGAATATACAAGTTTCGCTTGTATTTTCTGTGGGAAAAGAAGCCTCACGTTTTTAAAAGCAAAATAAATCCTTTCCTCTACAATGTTAGTTCTGCTTAGAGGAGTTAAGGTTATTCTAAACCTTAGAAAATAAAAAGTCGTTTATTTTCATCAAAGCTGGCTCAGTGCTCCTTCCGCGTGCTGGCTGCTTTGGGTGTGTTTTGATTTTTGTTTTTAAGAAGACTTGTAAACTCTCAAATATCTCCCCACTTGTTATCAGTTTTGTCCATTGATGGAAATCATGCGTACTGTTTCAAGTGCTTAAAAGAAGGGTTAAATTTTTTCTCACAATTTGTAGTATCCTTGAGACTGTTCATGACATCCAGAAATAATTGTTACATCTTTGCAAGTTAGCTGTTCTAGCCATTTCATATGTAGTTTTCAGGGTATGATATCTTCACTTATCTTCAGTAAATCTAACGAAAATGTAGAGAATGACATCCCAAACTCTGAATTCCTCACTTACGTCTTGTGCTTATTGGCATGCTTCCTTCCAAATTTTGAGCAGATTTATCAGCAAGCTTTCAAAATGATTGTAGGATTCTTATGCACAAAACAAAACACCTTTCTTTAGATTTTACAAGAATGTTCCTAATCCTCGTAAGTTTTTTCAGAAAAAGGGGCTGAACACTTCAGGTCTGATTGCTGAAAGGCTTATATAGTTATTGACCTTGGAGATTTGTGCTGTTTAGTGGATAATAAACAACTGTATGCAAAGACACCAGGTTTCTTTCTCAGAAATTTAAATATCTTTCTTCCTGTAAGTTTTTGAAAATGCTGCATTTACTCGTGCTTATCTTCCTCTGCCTATCTGTACGGTTTTTTTTGTCTTTAACCATTTATCTTGAATCTTGACCTGAGAGTTCATTTGTGATCTCATGAGTTAATTTACTTTATATGATAGCATTCATTGAATTCAGTCATGTCGTAAATATCAAATGTGACTGCATTCGGTTGTATTAATTACAGGGGCATTTTTGTGGTTTATCACTTCAAAATATGTTTGCAATTTTTGTTTCAGGTGAAAAAGACAAGCACATAATTGGAGGTTATGATTGCTCATTTGTTAGTGATTTAAGCAAGATCAACCCTACAAAAAATACAGAAACACTTGGTAGGTAGATTCTTTTTTTTTTTTTTTTTTTTTGCAACTATGTTGAGAGTAAACTTTTTCTTACTGTTACTATTGGCTCTTTTTTCCCCCCTCTAGATGTATTGCTGTGTGACTTTTTTGAATATTTTGGAAACTTTGATTTCAGAAAGAATTCCATAAATCTTCGAAAGGTAAACTCATTTTAATCTCTCATCGTTGTGTACTGAATTCCTCTGTTTGCCATTTGAGAAACTACAGATGTTAAACAACCATTTCTGTGATCTGTAATTGTACGTTCAAAGTAAGTTGGTGATATCCAGAAACTGAGTCCTTTTTATGAAGGAAGTGAACTTTCTTGTCAGAACGTCATCACTTAGTGTAATGTAATAACTTAGTGATGCTGTAGCTTTACTTGGGTATGTTGGAAAGCACGAACTCTAATGCTGAGTCTGCCTATATGACTTTTTTTTTTTTTTTTGACTACTCTGTATCAAAAGTGGCTGTTTTAAAATGACTACTGCTTTGATTTTGTGAGAGGAAGACTTTTTAAATATCATGACATATGTCATAGCAGAAGTCTCTTACAAACTGTGTACGTCAGCAGGCTTTGCACTTATAGTTGGGAGTCCAGACCCAAGCAGTGTCCACATTAAGTCTTGTAACTGAGTTTTGCAACTTTCTTCTGACGTTTCAGTGTCCTGCTGTGGTTCACAGCAGCATACGGTGTGGATGCTTACAATTCAGTAAGCATGACAGTTAACAGGATCATTCTGTGCTTGCTGAGGGGTCTGCACTATTGTTTTGATTTCTGTATGCATTTCATTCATGCTGTTTATTGGTGTTTGTGTGTGTGTGTATACATAGATAAATAGACACACAGAGGATATGGATACTAGGTAGGGGGTTTCAGTGCAATGTTGCTGTGTGGACACTCTTGTGGGTGTTCTGCTTTCTATTTTGGCACTGTGGGTTACTTGCATAAAAGGTGGTGGTTTTTTTTTTTGTTTCTATTTTTGTTTTTTTTGGGGGGGGCCGGTGCTTAGGTTGATTCTGGAAACTAATTCATTAAGCTGGGGGGCCTTTTTTTGCCTTTAAGACTCAAAAAAGACGAGCAAAAACCTCCACATGATGGAGCCTAGGGCAGACAGGTGAATTGTCTGTGCTGCTCATGTGCTTCCTGTCTAACCAATCCTTTTGGCCCTGGGGCAAGTGTATGTTGTAGCATGTATGTGGACACTTCCTTACTGGGCAAGAGTAAGCTGGTAGTTTCTTGCTAGTGCTTGCAATGGAAGGCTTGCAGAGGATCTGTAATAAAGAAAGGTCAGCAAAGGAGTACTGATAAGCGTAGAGACGGCAGTGCATTTAAATAGCAAACTACGTAGTGCCAACAACTTGTCTTTCTCTATGCCAAGTGCCCAAAAGTAGACCATGATCTGAAGATCTCTGTACTTAAAGGCCAGAATGAACGTGAGGAATTTCAGCCAAGGCAGTAATCATGTTTTGCTATACTAGCTCTTGATAAGCACTGTGAGAGAAATGGTTTGAACGTATGGAGTGGTTGTAGTAGTTTAGCAAACTGGGCTGTGGAGGTTAATATGACTGACTCATGATGCTCCACACCCAAATGGAGACAGGAGTAGGAGGCTGTAGTGAGTGAGATTTCAGGCCTGTGGAAAAGTAAATGGGGGAACGGCCAAAAAGACAATCTAAGTTCTGGTTGTGTGTTGTTTGTCTTGAAGGAAACGTACGCTGAACGTACCAAGGAAAACAACCTCTAAGAAGATTCAGAGAGCAGGAGTCATATGGTCAGACTGACAGGGAAAATTAACTTGATTAATTATCACTTTTTTTTTCCACAAAAAGGTCTTGAGTAGGTCAAAACACTTTTACTGTTAATGCTAATGTAATAACTCAAGTGATTTCTTATTTGCTGTGCCTATAACACATGTGCAGCTTTAGCTTTCTCTTTTAACTGTCTACAGGGAAAGGAAGTAAATAAACCTGAGTCGTCTCCTCTTTATATCTGGAATCCCTTTGAACAAGACCTTAATATCAGCAAGAATGTTAATCAGCCCCAGCTGGAGAAGTTTGTCGCTTTGGCCAGAGAAAGTGCCTGGATTTTACAGAAGGAAGATAAAACTCAGCGAATGGTCAGTAAAGAGCCCTGGGGACTGGCAGCCCTACTGATACCATTTGGAAAAAGTAATCCCAACAAGATCAAGAGTAGGATGAAGGGAATAGGAAGTGAAACAATCAAAAGTCTCTTGGACTCTTTAAAGTTAAGTAATGTGAACAATCTACAAAAAGCAGTGGGAAAATGACTTTCAGTGTGGAAACACAGTAGCTGCTATTCTGTTTTAGGAATTGAATGCAACGTGCAGTCTGAAGGACATTACTTTAACATTTCTATTATGGTGAAATGGAGAGTCAAATGACTTCTATTTTCCATTGCCATGCTTTTCGGACAAGTCTGCTTTGCTTCTCTGTACGTTATCTCCTCCTTACTCTCCACTTCTCCATCTATGCTATGAATGAAGAACATTCACATGCAAGTTTTACAGATACCTTTTGGAATTAGTCTTCAGTTGGGCATAGTTTTTAACAAAAATACTGACAGAAGGACCATGGGAAAAAGCCTCCAGAATTCTGTTGGCTAGCGCACAAATGATGTGCTAAGCAGAAGCTCCGGAAGTAGCCACCTTTCAGTGAAACCACGGTTTAAAAGAAGAAGAATGTTAGTTCTGTTGCTTCCGTTGCAGCCACAATCTGGAAGCCAATAAAATCGAAGTGCACGAGTCTATTTTTGTAACTGTTTTCCGTTCATGTAGATAGTGCCAAGACACAATAAAGAGAATGGAACTGGATAAGTAGGGTTTGCAGTTTCATCAGGCATTGCTCTCCAGGGATTCCGCAACTGTTTCATATTGGAAAATTGATTTGCTCTTGTATATGTCACCTGTTCTCAAACTTCTTCAATCAGGTCTTTTTTTCATGTCAGTATTCATAGGGCTGATTCCTACCCACATACATATACACTCCTCTGTCATCTTGCCTTCAACTTCACTTTAAACTGGTATTTTGGGTTCTGTAAGGGTTTTCTGCAGCCACTTTTTGCCTCATCTCTCTCCTCAAAGTTGCTGCACACTGGGGAACACCAAAAGCTTCTTCTCAGTTTCCATAATCCCTGCATCTCTCTCTGTCCCTCACATTAACCCATAGACAATCACCTGCCATTCTTGAATGCGGTCCTTAGTCCTGCCTTGTTTTTCAGATACTAAGCAGAGCGCTACCTGTCACCCTCCCAGATTGGCTTGACCATCAGAGTCAATGTCTCTCCTTGGCTTAAAGATACCATTGAGTTCTTGGTGTGTCTGCCACAGAAGAGTGTGTTTTGGAGGTAGGGAAGTCAGACAGAAAGGGAGATGGAGAGCAGAAACAAATGACAGATAGATTGTCTAGGTAGGCTTTTAGGTCTTCTATCTGCCCAGTTTGAGAGCCACTTATGTACCCTAAAACTGTGCAACTGTGATATGAACACCTATACAGACTGTTGTCTTTACTCTTAAGAGAAATTCAGTACAAGAAATTACAGTAACTCAGAGAACACCATATAGATGAAATATTGATGTTCATGATGAGTTTCATTTTCAATATTTTTAGATTTTTTTTTTTGTGCTGCAGTGGTATATGATTTCATGTGGAATTCCTATCTGTTCGTGTCATCTGAACTGGTGTGTTAGTATTAACAGCTGAAAAGAGTGTTTTCTCTTTTTCCTGAGATACTTATTGAGCACTTGTGTAAAATTTCGCATATTCATTATTTTGGTCATGGGAATTAATTCTCATATTAACTTCTTCAAGACTGAGCCTTGAAATTCAATTTAAAACCCTGTGCTAGTGAGTGAACGTCTTTTTGGTGGCTTGAATGAAATTTATTGTTACTTTTTACTGGCATTAAACCAAACTTTTTGGTACTAAGCTTGGCACTAACATGCTATGAGGAACCTTGATCTTTACACAACCTAGAGAGATGTTTTCTCCAGAAATAGCTATTGAAGCTATTAGGGTGGTACTTGGTTACTTGATATTTTTTCCAGTTAAACAGAATGAGTAATATTGCAGTGCAGTAATAAGAAAATGGCATACCAGCAATGCAAGCCTACACCAGAATTGTGACAGTGTATGTGTACTCTTAAGAATGTACACACACACACACACACACACACACACACACACATATATAGGTTCACTGTGACTTAGATAAGAAAGATCTGGTAAGAATTTTGACACCGAGACACAAGATGCCTGTGGTCCAAGACCAATAAACTTAAACAGTTGAGCCATTCTGAAACATATGACTTTGGTCAAAATGCCTCCTATGCAAATGTGCATAGGCATTCCAGCTGCTTAGTATTCCTTAAAAGGGAAGACAGAGCATGGTTACTATATATGCAGAGCTTTTTTAGCATCACAGCATCTGTCTATTTAAACTCTCTGTTCATTTTGGGAAAAGTTTGAGCAGCTGTTGTGGCTTCAGGCTAATTTTGGGAAAGAAAAGATGGAAGTCAAAAGCATTGTTGTGGAAAAGAAAACACACAGGTGATTGCTTTAAGTATCTGTAAGTCCAGGGAGCTGGAGGCCTACTGCTGATTACTGTTCTCTGCTCTCGGCTGGTCCTGCAAGTCTGTAGGCTTCACCATCTTTGGTGTTATAAACAAGCCAGCCTGGCTGCTTTCATAGAGGAAGCTGCTAGCTGGGGGTGGAAAGCAAACTGTAAGCTTCTCTGGACTATCGGTTGCTTCGGGGAGAAGAGCCACATTGTTGGGACTGGAGCCACCTGTGGGAAGAGAACCAGACAGGGAAGTGGACCAAGGTGTGAAGGGGCGGGCAGGATGGTTAGCCGCGCAAGGAAGATAGTGTGATCATGATTTCCTGAGGGCATAAGCCTTCTCACACTGAAGAGGGCTAGAAACAATCAGTCTTGCCAATATTGTTCTGTCAGTAGAAACAAGGGTTGGATGTTTGTCAAGAGAGGAGTATGGAGATGGTCTGTACTTGAGAGCTTGCTCCTATGCTCTAATGATGTGAAAATGATGCCTCAGCAAGAGTGACGCAGTGAGTTATAGTTACTTCTCATAAGTTCAATAAGAGGCTATGAGAACAGGGATGGCATAACAGAAGAGCAACGGAAAATAAATCTGTGCCACCACAGTGGAGCATAGCACACAAATCTGAGCTAGTCTTGGATGTGCTGATGAATCTATAGAGTTGCACAGCACAATGTAGAGACAGTAGTTCAGATGTAGAAGCAATAGAGCCCTGTAAATGCAGCATTGTGCCCCATCCTGCTGCACAACAGTTTGTTAACTTGAATTTGGCACCGTATTGATGCTGTGTTACCTCAGGGTCCAGAGCAGTCAGGCTCTCAGCTGCAGCGTAGCTATATTCACAGCGCTCATGATGGGCCTGTATTTCAAGAGGAGTTGTGTTCTTACCGCAGCATGTCTTTATTCTTGCAACTTTAATTTGCGAGTTCAGTTTATACTCTCTTGGGGGTTTGGGCTTCGTTTTTACTTGACACAATTTTGTGTGTTTGGAAAAAGAAAAGATAGACAAACAATTTGTATTTAAATAGTTTTGCCAACAAACTAGTTACATGTCTGCTGAGTTCAGCTCAAGCAAGCCTAGGATTTCAAGTCTGAGCTGCTTTGGAGATCTGATGAATCAACAAAGTGAAAACTCAAAATGAAAACTGGAAGCCCCTGTCTTCCAAATGATTTGTCTTTCTCATCACAGAATTACTGCTGAAGTTCTCTCCTAGTGCAGAATTGGTCTGTACATCCTAGGCCTCCTGGTGTGACATCCTACTGGGTTTGTTTAAAACAAAGACTATAATTTATGTAAGACTAACCTATGCCTGGAGATATCAATATCAAGGGAGGGATGCTATGATTTGCATAGTCCTCTTGTGCTGATCCACTGCTTTTTCTCTAAGACCTCCTGGTTCAGTGAGGATTTGGTATTGTGTACTGAATTGTGGGACAGGGCCTGTGGGTTTAAGCATGGCAGTCTTTTCAGCACCCTGTATACTGAAATCTATGTCCATGGTTTTGTAGCTGTCTCTCATTTTGTAACGTGTCGGCCCTTTATCTAGTCAGTGATTTGAGCTGGATGTCATATCAGGTGATCCAGAAGTTAGTTTTCTTTGCTACTCTGCAATAAATAGATGGTAACTAGTTCTCCATGTCTAGTGGGTAACTTGTTTGATGTGAATATGAAAATCCTTAATTAAAAGTGACATTTTAAAGCAATTTAAATTCTTCTTTAGCATTGAGTATCACTCTTGGAATGCAATGCTGTTCGGCATGCTTGCTCTGGGAGATGGGTTTGCAGCAGATATGCATATGCGTTTCTTCTAATTAATTCTTAGTGGAATCTCTATATTCAGTGCTTTTGGTTTGAAAGACTCCCCTTCCTCTCCGCTTCTTTTTCTCCTGTGCTCGCTCTTTTCATCATCTCTCATCTGGTTTGATCTGTTTTTAAAAAAAAAAAAAAAAAATAGTAGTTGATTTGGCCATAGTGTTTTGTGGAGTAATGGTGACTATAGCCGTGTCCAAGAAACGGGTTGTTTTTAAGGCGTGGTGCTCTCATTGCAGTGCAATTTTACTGCTTAATTTTTTGTGGAGATTGAGTCTCTCTTTCATATTGCCATTTCAGTGGCTTGTGGAGTGGTCAAGTTAGCTGGACTTGATGGGTTGCACCTATACTGAGCACGTATTTTAAGAAGTCTGTTCATTTAAGAAACTTGTAATATTAGAAAACAGAAGTTCCATGAAAACTTTTTGAGAGATGCTTTTCCCTGTTATTATTTTCAACTTGTTCTACAGAAACATTCAAAGACAGGTTTTTGTTCCCATGCTGAGCTCTCTTGTGGATACAAATTTGTACTAAATGCAAACATTGTGGCCCTATGTTGAAAATTTGCATGGAGCATCTCCCAGAACATGTCTTCTAAGTTTAATCCTTAAGGCTGGCAGGCGGAAAAAACCCACCATGAATTACTAAGGCATAGACTCCTCTTCATTTGCTGGTTCCGTGGAACTGTGTCGCAAGAAAAAACTGCTCTTCTTGCAGAAAGAAGGTGCATATTTATTAGATGTTGACTGAAAAACAGTATTATTTACATTTTTTCTGTATATTTACATCTTTCATTTTTAAAGTGCTTTTCTAAGAACTCATATTAGAGACTTTCAGGACAAGAGGAAGAACTTGGTGAATACAAAAAGGCTTCATATTTCAAGTAATTAGATAAATGGTAATTGATATTAGATTAGATTTCCAATATATAATTAATTTTGATAATTAATACCTATAGCAATCCAGCAATAACAGGAAATCTTGCCCAGGCTCTCCGAACCAATTTCCTCTTTCAATTTTCTGCCGGCCACCACAGATCACACATTTTCTGTGAGATCCACCACTTCTTACAAAAGGATGGGATTTGGGAAAGCACACTGAATAGAAATTACAGTGTCCAGTTTATGGGAAGGTGATCATTTAGGTACCTAAGTAAATAAAAGCATTCATGACTCCATCTGGGAAAGGGATTCACAGATCTAATGACTCCAGAAATACAGTATAGAGAATGGCTCTGTAGATCTTTAGCTGCCTCATACCTTTTTCTTCTGAAAATTATCTTTAGACACCTCTCAGAAGACAGGTTGCTATAACTGCTTGATATATGAGCTTGAAAGTATGATCTGATTTGAAATGAATGTGATCTGTTTTGTTGAACCACTAAAGACCTCAATTATTGTAGTTCTGCTCTAAAATCCATGTTTAAGAGAGTTTGCATTGCAATTGGCTTAGAAATGCGGAACATCGTGATTTTCAGTTACCCTAAAAATGCAAATGCTTACTGATAGCAGCCGACATGTTTTTTCAACTTATGCTGTATGATAAGGTCTATATAGAGTCCCCCCCCCCTCCCCCCCATAGGTCCCCTCTTCAATATTCTCAATCTTTGAAATGCTTTTTGCAAGCAATTAACTTTATATTTCCTGTAGGATACAAATAATAAAGATGTTCTTTGTTTGTCCTAGTAAACTACAGTTCAGTTGTACTGTTTCAAGTCTTCAGTGAGATAAAGAATAAGATATCTGGTGTGTGCTTTCCTCAGATGTAGGCTGAGGATTGTTGCATACAAAAAATGAGAATGCTTTTTGTAGAGCAGCAGATTTCAGCTTTTGATCTCTGAACTCCTCAGGATCTGGGGAACTATGTCTGAAGAGTTCATTTTAAAAAAAAAAAAAAAGCAAGACAAAACCGCAAGAAAGCCAACCTGATTGTCAGCCAGGTTAAATTCACTGAACGGAGGTTTTTAACTTTTAATGTTTTCCATGCGAAACCAAGGTCAAAGGAACTACTATTGAGTCATGAATAGAGATAGCATTTCTTGCATTTTGTCATTTTAACGTCACTTTATGACTAATATTTTATCTAAGTAAATTATTAGCTATGAAAAGTTTGTTTCTGTCGCTTAGAAAACGTGGTTTCCAATGAAGAGAGAAGAAATATTATTTTGGATGGCTGACAAATTCTGCATGATATCTCTTAATGGGTGAGAAGATTTTTTTTCTAGCAGGATATCTAAAATTTCTGAACCCTGCCCTGGCAAAAATACTTGCATTTTACCCTTATAAATTATAAAGGGGGAGTACAGGCATCTCAGTTTGTCTTGATTTAATTTTATCCCACATGTATAGGGTTACAAGTATGTGGCTGTTAGGCATGAGTGATATGATTTTATGCTCCAAATGCTGATAAGAGAGAAGCTTCAGATCACATAGGTTAATGCAGATGTGATTCAAAGACACCTAGTCTGAATCTCCTACGCTGTATTAGAGTCCTCCCACCATTGCTGCAGAAGTCTATAAATATTAACTAATGCCAGCTGCTCATTCCCAGGAGGGATGCCTTCCCCTGAAGTTAATTTTTCTGATTCAGGGGGGATCTTCCATTGCCAAGCTGACCCATGGACTTTCTGAAGTCATCTGTTTGTTTTACCTGCTTCTTAAGCCTGAGGAGGCAAAGAACTGTTTGTCATCCCCATTCCCAGCAGGCTTTTTCCTTCTGACTCCAATAGCAGCAGGACACAGCCCTAAAATTCTTCTCAGATACAGAGAGAGCGGACAACGACATTATAGCATGACCATTTCGACTGCTCATGTTTGTGCAATATATCTACATATCTGGAAGAAATTTTCCTTAGCGTCTTTATTCTGTTTTTTTTAAATGATGAACTGATTTTTTTTTTTTTTCCCCTGGGACTTAATGAGCTGGAGCTTTCGAAGTTGTGCTTCCCTCGCTCCCTTGTTATTCCTGGCAAAGAGTAGAATTTCAAGTTGAGCCTTTTCTTGCTGGATGTTTTTCTTTTCTGTGATAAACACAAAATATGCAGTTGGTGTCAGGAGAGCATTAGGTGAGGGGATCCAACTGAAACTTCCCAGCAGAAAATTCTCCATCTTGCCAGAGTGTCGAGGAGATGCAGCAATGATTCATTTCTGTGATAGCGCCGTAGGAACACATGTCCAATTGTTTGCTATGTAGGTCATAATGGGGTACATCGGCATCTCTGTTTGCAGACTTTACAAAGAAGTCTGGGATTGGGAAGGATTACAGAAAAAGCCCTATTCTGTTACTACTTAAATTGTTCCCCTGGCAGGGGTAAGCTATAAACAGTTTGCTGTAGAATACTCGCTCTGCAGCTGGCATAGTTGGATACGGCCTGTGTCTGAGGAGGTTTAATTTCTCAGATTAAACAGCTCGTTTACTTTTTACCTCAGCTCTGCAATCAAAGTCTGGGCCTGTGTCAAGGAGAAGGCCCTCAGAAATGCTTAATCACGCTGTTCCAACATGAGTTCCTGACGGCAGTTTATGTTCGTGTGGATATTTCATGTGCTTAGAGTCGGGGGAAATTGGCAGGTAACTTGGCTAGCTCAGGGTTTTTATTGCAGTCCTGTGCCTTTTAGTGTCTGTAACAGTGCTTCAGAAACTTGTTCACCTGTCAGTTTTGTTTTCGTCTGTATCAGCTTCATGTATCCACAGGAGACGAAGTCATTGGGGACATAATTTTGTTTAATGCAGTGTAGCATTTTACTGAACACCCTATTGCACACCATCACAAAGTGGCTTCTTGTGGAATATACCAGCTGTCTCCTGCTGTCTCTTCCTTCCAAGCAAGTCTCTGGTTATTGAAGATCAAGAACTAAGTGTTGACCCCTTTCCTAGTGTGAGTGCTTCAAAGGATGGCCCTAGCAGTGCTTTTGTTAGGTAGATTTGGAAATGTCGAGTGTATCAATATCTTACACTCCTTGGAGTGTGGCTCGTCTCTGCATATGCCCACGCAAGCATCTCGTGCTCTAGTTTCCACATTTGTTTGTCTGGTCCTCTGTTACCGTCGTACACAGAGAACAGCTCTACAAATAATACAGCTCTACAGCTAGGAGAAACCCAGCAGTATATTGTGCATGCTTATTTTGGGGAAAGTAGCTGTTTCCCAAATGATGCATCTCCCTGAACTGACTGTCAGCTTCCTCACATTGTTGGGAGAAATGCGCAATGCCTTGCAGCATTGATTGAATGTAAGTTACCACAACCCTTGCAGCCAAAGGCTATTTTATTAGACTTTGCATCATACACATTCAAGGACAGATTTATTCTCTGTGGCCCCATACCTTCAGATCTAAATAGGTTTTCAAAGCAGTTGCAGATGGTGTTCCCTGAGCAGACCATGTACACGTTTATTTTTCCCTGCAAAGACGGAAGTAAGTCCTGCACATTATGTTGTCTGATGATCCTTCTTTTGCTGACATGTTTACTAGTGCAATATGGACTTCTGTGAGACTGTCTTCCTCTATCCATCAGTCTTAACCACTTACAGACATCATTTTCTCTGGGATTCAGTTAATTATTTTATAAAAACCTGTCTTGCACAGGAAGAATACCAAGTGAGGTGATAACAGATTTGAAATAAAAATATGTGCAATTGAAGATTTTAAGTTGCAACTCAGAAGGGAAGTGGTGGTAACTTTGCTATTTTTATTTCAGCCTCTACTTGAGGATTTGGTTTAATCTATCTTTTAAATTAAGCCTCACCACCAAGAAAATAGGCTGGGGGAACTGTATATGCCTGCTTAAAGGTCGGGTTTCTCTTCCTAGTACAACTGAAGCTGTAGCCAATGTGTTTGCATAAGTGTTAGTATCTTAACAGCTTTCAACAGAAGACGCCAGCGGAAGATCTTGATTGTTGTTATTGATTGTGAATAAATGCATAAAGAATAATATTGGAAGGGGTTTCTGCACTCTGACATGAAACGTATGCAAACACAGACGGTAGGTTAGGATAGAACAAGTTATGACACAGAGAAGCCCTTTTATCTAAATGCAACTTGAAATTTCAGAGAGCTCTAAGGTCAAACACCAAATCTTTTTAGGCGTCTCTGAAAAGTCACGGACTTACGCAGCAGTTTATGCTGGGAAGAAGTAGTGAAGCACGTCTTCTGCTGAAGCATCACACCATGATGAATGGAGAGCAGGTCTGGTGAGCCAGTAGCCTGTTTCAATCCCGTCTCTGTGAATGCGCTAATGCATATTTGGAAGAAAGGGAATTCATCTTGAACTTGAAAACTGATCCAATAATTACCTCAGCTGATGTTGTAATTATAGCTCACTTCTTCAAATTTTCGAATAATCACTTTTTAAATTAAATGAGATATTATAACTTCATTTAACACTGCCACTACTGTTTGGCACTATAGGAACTGGAAAAAGGAGTATAGATCATGCGATACGCTTCTTGTTTTAGCATCTGTAACACCAGATTAAGGAATAGCACGATAGGATGAAAAGATATCTTTTGATAAGACTTTACCGCACATGCTTCGTCTGTCAAGTTTAAGGATCATATTTAAAGGTGTAATAATTGCTATTGTACTGAGCTATTTTTATATGTATCTAATTTAATGCATTTAATTTAAATAAAGCTACTTTTAAAGAAGTATTGCTTTTGGTCTGATTTCTATAAAACTTGAGATAAATGAGGGCCTCCTCGATTTTATCCATCGGCACTAAGGAAGCAGCTGACAAAATGGAATATTACCTTGCAGAGAGAAAAAGATGCTGCTTCTGTGGGTCAAAAAAGTATAAAGCTCAAGACTGGATTTCCTCATTGTTCAGGCAAGTTTTCTTACTCCTCCCTCACAATTCTAAAGCTTTTTATATGTATCTATGCAGAAGCGTGTTGTTCTGATAGTAATATACTATCTTAGCGGTACTATTTTCAGAAACAAGCTCCTGTATATAATAAACAAAAGACATGAAAATGTGCAAAGAAACTTTGTCATAACTCAAGGGTGAATATAGCACTTTCTACCCTAGTGAGCTTGTATGTTGACTCAAGAGCAAGCTCAAAGCTGTTAAATTGTTAACATTGGATCAGCTATGGCAACGGGCCTTAAGTTAAGTCTTCTATTACAAAAACTGAAAGCATTTTTTAGTCTATTTGTTTTACTGACAGAAAGCAATTCAATCACACTTTTTAAGCATGGATAATTAATTAATGGTGCATCCAAATTACATAGAGTAGGATAATTGTACTCTAAATGTTTAAAAGTAAAAATATCTGTATTAAATGCTGCTGTGGTATAACCACATGCAACTCTAGTGATATTGGGCAGTGACTCTGGCTATGATAGTTAAACCTTTAGCAGCAGCAAAACATGCATTTGCTCTGGTGACTCAGCACAGGCTAAGACAAGAGGCAAGAAAACCGTGGAGACTGTTAGATTTTCTTGTGCTTCTTGAAAGAAAATTGTTCAGCCCCTTCCCGTGCGCTTGCTGCTGGCAGCTGTTGTAAGGCAGTAGTTTTGCCGATCCTTTAAGCTGCTATTGCCACCAAGAAAGTTGCCCTTCCCTCCATTGCCCTCTTGTGCGGGGCCAAGCATTGCACAGCCACATGGAGAATCCTGCCTGGAAGCGGGACCAGTGGGGCTCTGAGGAGGCCATCCATGCAGCCCCCTTCACTGTGGTGCCGGTGTATGCCAGCGCAACGAGCACAGGGAGCAACAAGCTTGGGTTTCTCTTGCCTTCCTGAGCTCTTGTGGCCTGGCAGCAATAAATATCAGACTGTTTTCTAATAACTTATGTACTCCTTATGTTTAAATCAGAGACCTTGATTCTTGAGACAGCTAGGCTTTGTTCCTGAGACAATCACCTCCACTGCAACTGGACCCTGAGTGGCGGCCCA